CAATACATTACATCTAAGGAGAATTGTATTTGTCCTATTTTTATTTGATTCAATTACATATTGTGGTCATTTGTTGTGTTGTTCCGATTGCAGTACACTTCACTTAACCCCCTAGGTGATAGAGTGTTGGTCAAGATTAAGACTACAGAGGAGAAGAGTGGAGGTGGTATCTTACTACCAACAATAGCACAACGCCTCAAGGAGGTGAGGTGGTTGTTGTTGGAGAAGGTCGGAAAATTGGAAAGAAAAAGGTGGACTTCAGCATAAAGGTAATTGTTTGGGGTTAACACATTAAAATCACAAGAGACCTTTGACTCACCGATTTTGTGTTCTTCAATGATGTTTTTGACTAGGGAATCTTAGGCATTTTAGGTGTGTTTACAACAACTGGGTTTTCAAATATATTTACAACAATGGTTTTATAAATCTAAATTTCAACTCTTTTTGTTTATTTGGTCCATTTCCAACATAAAGATACGAATTTTTTATTTTAGTCATTTTTTTAAAAATAAATGCTTCCCTCTCTCTCTCTCTCTCTCCCTTTCTCCCACCCCCTACTGNTTTTTTATTTTAGTCATTTTTTTAAAAATAAATGCTTCCCTCTCTCTCTCTCTCTCTTTCTCTCTCTTTCTCCCACCCCCTACTTNAAAGATACGAATTTTTTATTTTAGTCATTTTTTTAAAAATAAATGCTTCCCTCTCTCTCTCTCTCTCTCCCTTTCTCCCACCCCCTACTGCATTACATAATTTGAACCATCCATATTCAGTGCTTGCATTTTTTTTTTGATCAATATTCAATTTTTTTGTAAATTTCATAGTACCTTTAGGAACGGGTAATCATTTCATGCATTTTTTTATGCGTGTTTCATTTGGTGGGTTTTAGTTCTCTAAGTTACATTTTGGGTTTGTTGATAGGTGGTAATCGCATATGTCGTCCCCAAAGTTCAATTGAATGAATTCACAAGTCTTTGTCTCTGCGAGCCCACTGCGTTCATGCCCCTACAACTTTAATTATCATGGATTTTTCTACTCTACCACTGATAAAAAACCGTGTTATTTTGGATGTATTATTCTGGTAAACATATGATATGGTGGATATATTATGTGTAGTCTAAATACTCTTGTGAATTGTTCCTAAAATTGCATCGTGCACTTAGGTGTACATAAAACTACTATGTGTTCATAATTTATATTGTGCATTTTCAGACTAGGCACCAACTCAATTTCAAATTGCAATGTGCAACTGGGGTTGCGTCGGGTTGTTGTGTATGGATCATTTGATTTTTTTTGGGATTGTAATGTTTGTTTTTCGATTATATATACAGATTGACATTTCCATGATCTCTTATTTTAAAAGGAAACTCTGCCAAAAGTTTGAAAAAATAGCAAGTTATTCCATGAGCCCTTTTGCTAATTTTATGCTTTCCTCCCTCTTCTGTTTGTCTTTCGCACTTTCATCCTTCCAAGTTCTGATAATTATACGTAAAACCCTACAAAATATACAAATTAAGCATTAAGCATAATACTATTCAAATTAATCATTTTAATTCAATTAACGCACACTATTAACCGTAAATCCTAATTTATTACCACACTATTTAGGGTTAATCAATGTTGAATTGTGAGAGAGGGATGATAATGCTAGTGGGGGATAGAGAAATGGAAGGTAAGAGGATAAAGAGACATGAGTGAAAACAATGGAATGAAGAAGAAGCCATGGTTTTCAGTGAATTATGAGAATTAGATCAAATGATAACACAATGAGGTTTGGTTATGGTGATGAATGTTGCCAAATTGTTGATCCGAAGGTACCTATACAATTCACAATTCCTCTTGGGTAGTTGCGAAGGCAATAATCTTGTTTTGTAATGTATAATGTAATTATACAAATTTTAGTGGAAAGAGAAGTGAGATAATTTTTTTAAAAAAACAATTCAATTCCCGTCGTTTAATTAAACACCCATAAATTTTTTCTAGTCACCAGAGTCTGGCCAATAAAGCCGATGTTTATTTTTCATCAAGAAAGTCACCGGTATATATTCAAATATGCTTGATTGGGTTCACCCTAATCTCCAAACATCACCCCGGTTTATGTGTATGGCTTATATAGATAGGGAAGTGTCACTCTTCCTCGGGTTCAATGCTAGAAATGGGAAAAACATGTGTGTGAATGAAAATGTGTTGGTGTGAAAAAGTGCTCTCCAAGTAAAGAGAGACTTTCAAGTGTCATGGTTTACTTGGAATTAAGTATCCCAAGTTCATCTCTTCAGGGAAGGCAAGTTAAATTATGGTAAAGGTGATTTTGTGATAAATGAAAAGTGTAAAATCTTGTAGTTTTGTGTTTTGGTGAGTGGAGTTTTTGCTAGAAATGAAATGAAAACAAGGTTGGCTAATCCGAAAGGTTCATTCTAATGTGAATGCCAAATCAACTCACAATATTCTTCCAATGGTGTTTCGGTGCTTGATTGATTCGTAGGAAGTGAGAGACTAATGTGGAGGTGTAGGTTTAAGCATACACCGTGACAAATCTACGGTGTATCAAGAGTGCACAAGCACATTCGCACCCAGTCTAGTCAAACCAAACACCTTACACTATGAGGAAGAATGGCAAAGAGTTGATTTAACATACCCAAGAGGAAATTTTCCATGGATTAGCTAACTAAAAACTTAGCTACTCTTAATGGATGGATAGACATGCATAATGTAAAGAGACATGGTCGAGAAATGAAGCATGGAACTTGTATTAATGAAAGAAAAGAGTTAAACTACAAGAGAAATGACATTTATAGTCAAAATACAAATATTGAAGGCAAATACCCAATGTAAAACTTGAAATGCTAGAAAATATAGTTAAACTTGAATACACTTGAAATAAAGTAGATTAAAGTGCAAGAAATAAAGATTATAAGTGATTTAAAGCTTACTACAACTGAAATGGCNAAGGCAAATACCCAATGTAAAACTTGAAATGCTAGAAAATATAGTTAAACTTGAATAAACTTGAAATAAAGTAGATTAAAGTGCAAGAAATAAAGATTATAAGTGATTTAAAGCTTACTACAACTGAAATGGTGAAGAAAATGCAAAAACCTAACTTTCTCTCTCTAGAATTTCATCTTCTTCGTTGTGAGCTTCTCTCTCTATTTACTACTCCTAAGATTAGGTAGCCTCTCTCTTTACAAAAGCTTGTGTGAAGCTGAATAAATGGTGTATAGACCTCTACATTTTCGTCCATAGGACTCCTCTAGCCTATATGTGCAGGCCTCCCATCAATGGGAGGTAAGGTGATGCATTGGACAGGCTAGGACAGGCATAGCTTGCACCCACCACACCTTCTTCCTTCTCTCTCCTCCTTTCCCATCCTCAATCTTCCAAAGTGTGACTTTAGGGTGTAGATAGGCATGCATATATGTAGAATATGTCAAGAGATGTGTGGGAGAATCATAGGTGGGACCCTCAAGCAAGGGGAGCATAAGTTACAGGTGTCTGGCATTTCTGGACCAAACCTTCTGGAAGGTCGAAGCAAAACCTTCTAGAAGGTTGAAGCAAACCCTTCTGGAAGGTTTTTTTTCAGTGTGCAAAACCTTCCGGAAGGTTTTTAGGGGGATGCAAGCTCAGGACTAGTTTTCGTACATTTATCATAACTTTTGGTCTAACAGTCCGATTGAGCTAAAATGTTGACATTATATAGATGACATACATATCTATAACTGTTATGTTTTTAACTTTTTTAGATTCAAAGTATATCATGGTCAAAATTTGGGAAAACCGAGGTACTGCTACCAAATGGTGTGGGTGTCGGTACCTATGTTACCAAATACTGATACCTCCTTGATATTTTTCACTTTTAAGCCTCCAAATTGTCATGTAATGTGTTTATCTCTTCACCACTCATCCACACATAGTTGCAGAGTTCCGAAAGCCATCAATTACTCTATGATTACCTGCAACATCAAAATTTTCACATTATTCACAACTTCGACGAACTCTAACTAATTAAATACTAAGTTGAGTTAAAATGCATGTAATGAGGCCGTTAAATATGCAATATTACACACTCATCAATTATGGTAATGAATGTTGCCAAATTGTTGATTCAAAGGTAGCTATGCAATTCACTCTACATGTGATTGGGTGGTTGTGGAGGCAATAAACTTGTTTTGTATAAAGTAATTATACAAATTTTAGTGGAAAGAGAAGTAAGATAAATTTTTTTTTTTTTAAACAATACAATTCCCACCATTTAATTTAACACTCGGAAATTTTTTCTAGTCACCAGAGTCTGGCCAATAAAGCCAATGTCTTTTTTGGTAAAGAATGTCACTAATATACATTTTCCTGCTTAAGCGTTTATTTTTCATTGGGAAAATAACTAATATACATTTTTCGGCATTTAAGCGAGAGATTTTTTGACGCAATATAGGTAGCGTGTGGACAAACACTAGAGGAACGTCGACGTTAAGCTTTGCAGTCATTTCAGCTTTTTGAAAATTTCTTGTAGTGGCGAATTTTTTTTCTTTATTCGTAAATACTTGCGCTTTGAAAAATAAAGATACATTAAAAGCTTGCTTGAAAAGACTTCTTTTCTCTTCATTGATTTATGAGAATGACCAATTGCTCCAAAAGCATTATTTTAATTTATTGCTTCCTATCTCAAAAAATTCAAAAAGTATAAACATCTAGATATCCTGCATATTTTGCACCTAAACAAAATGCACGTTTCTGGAAGGAATGTAAAGCCTTACATGCAATAATACTCCCTTAAAATCTTAAACAAAATAATAGAAATAAATTAGGTTGTAAGTTCATGAAGAACTTAGTACATTAGTTTTCTGAACCCAACTCTATGCTATGAATTTCAGTCCAATCCTTAAAATACATTTTATTTTAATTGCAGCCTCTAATTTTTCATAGACAAGTGTCAGTATGGATCTTAGGTATAATTAATTCCCTAATATTTTTGCAGGAAAAAGAACATGTATCCCTAAAAAATTGGAGGGCTTGATTAAAAGATATAGTTTGAGTGTTAAACTGGAAATTGTAGTATAGTTAAGGAGCCAAATAAATAATTTATCCACGGACATACTAGAACAACAATCTTCTCTTACATGCCTCAAAGGGAAGTGAATAGATGCAACAACATCTCAGCTCTGTAACAATGTCTTCAATCAAGTCCCTGCAAATATGATCTTGCATCACCAACCCTATTCTCCCAACCTCTCTCTTTTCTCCCCACGCGATGTCCCTACACACTTCTTCTACACTCTCAATCATGGCTTTGCTGCTCCACAATGTCGAAGCCGCCGTCTCGGACTTTGCCAGAAACGATACACTGGTGGCTTTGTCGAAGAAACACAGATCTATAATATCATCTTCTCCTGGCCTCTTCCTTGGTGATGACTTGTGCCTGTGTGGCATTCGTCCTGCAACATGATAATTGTTCTTCACTGTCTTCAAAACCAATGAGCAATACTAATGGGATATAATTTAATGACATAATGTATTGTGACCAATAAATTGATAGTATAATGTATTTCGTGCTACAATGGATTGTGACCAATGAATTGATAGTATAATGCATTTCATGCTGCAATGGATCCCATCCACTGTCGACGACAACATGCTAATGATGGTCACCTCCTAATAATTTAGAAGGACTGCTTTTTTGGTGGGTGGGAACATGAGAAAGTGGAGTTCTGTCATCTAAAGCAATAAAGAAATGTCATCCTTGCTTTTATTACATTTCTTTTCAGCTTTAGTATTAGTTGAATCATCTTTGACTGTTTCATGAGGATAACTGAGCAGTGGATATGATTTTGGCTCGTACTACAAAGACCCTATGGACCACCATAGGCGAGAAGCACTGGCCAGTGAATTCTCTGTAACACTTTATGTATAATTGGCACCTATTCTAAAAAATGTGACCTAAAAGAAATCAACATCTATAAAAGATCATATATTAACATAATTGAAATAAAAATTGCATTGAATTACAGATTAATCAAAAATTAAATAATTTCACTTTTGATAAAAATAAGCACCAAAAAGTATAGAAATTAGATTCAAATTCGTAATTCCCTTATTATATAAATATATTAGTCATAACTCGTGCCTCATGGCACAATAAAATATAAAAATTGAGTGTCCAAAAATTGATTCCATTATATTAATATTTTTTAAAATATATTAATTACAAATTAATCAAATATTAAATGATTAAATATATGACAAAAATGAGTGACGTGATGTTTTTTGAGAAGAAATATATGATAGAAATAAGTGATATGATTTGACGTTTGAGCCTGACAAAGGGATAATGAGTGAGGTAAGTGATTGGTGATGGTTTTGAGGAAAAAAATATAATTGGAATAAAATTCAAATACACTCCTATTTTATTATATAGATTCTCATAATCTGATGAGAAAAATAATGACATNCAAATTCGTAATTCCCTTATTATATAAATATATTAGTCATAACTCGTGCCTCATGGCACAATAAAATATAAAAATTGAGTGTCCAAAAATTGATTCCATTATATTAATATTTTTTAAAATATATTAATTACAAATTAATCAAATATTAAATGATTAAATATATGACAAAAATGAGTGACGTGATGTTTTTTGAGAAGAAATATATGATAGAAATAAGTGATATGATTTGACGTTTGAGCCTGACAAAGGGATAATGGGTGAGGTAAGTGATTGGTGATGGTTTTGAGGAAAAAAATATAATTGGAATAAAATTCAAACACACTCCTATTTTATTATATAGATTCTCAGAATCTAATGAGAAAAATAATGACAGTCTATAAATAAAGTAGGAACAAAATTTTATCTAGAACACAATTATATTCACCGTTAAAGATGATCTAGATAACCAAAGTATAAATATTTGTTCTTTCTGATCTTGGAATCCTAAACCACAGATGAGAAACCCTACAATCTTTAACGAAAAATCAAAATAAGGTGTCATCCAAGTTATACGTGTGTATCATTATCACTTTCCTATGTGTTTCTCCTTAAACAATTCAACATGGTTTTTATGTTGTTACTATATTCATCTTTTCACCCCCGAAACTTCGCTGATGTGAAGTTTTGAAATGTTCTCTTTATTTTATCATATTTAGAACGAGAAGTCTTTGAAAATTACCAATTGATCCCCTCAAAATCCTAAGAAATTATGCAATTTAATACACGTCGACCACCCCTTGAAAGATTTTCAAACTTCCACCTTTTTATATAGGTATTAACACTACTGTCAATCCCTTCCTTTGTCGTGGATGTCCTAACAGAACCTATAATTCTAGATTGACCAGAATGTGAGATTAAAAAAAAAAACAAAGAGGTCAAATGATGTAATACTGACATATTAATATTTTTTTCCTAATTTTTTTTAATTAAAATTAAATATTTCACTTCACGACAGCACCACGTCATTTTATTAGTTTAGTATCTTATTTTTTAATCAATCTGATATTATACCAAGAAAATATATAGTGGCGAAGTCCATGCCAAAGTGATAGCTTCTTGCTAATAAAGCGCATGAGGGGCAATGTAATCATATATTTTGTCTCCCTTTCTTCTGCATGTACTCATTAAATTCCCAATCCCAAAGCTACACTTTCCTCTTTATTAATCCAATCACCATTTTATCAAATATATATATGTCTTTGTATGACAATAAAAAATTCAACTTTTTATGTTAAAATGGCCTCTGAAATTTTATTTGTCTCAATTTAATTTTCAACTATCAATATTGTATCAATAAAAAACTTTTGATTTATCTTATTTATTAGAACAAACAAAGACAAATGACAGAAATAGGCACGTGACAAATACATGGACTTGTCTATTTTTATTCTAACGGATGAATTAGACAGAAAAATTTTATTGACATGAAATTAATGGTTAATGGACTAAATTCAAATAATTANCAAATGACAGAAATAGGCACGTGACAAATACATGGACTTGTCTATTTTTATTCTAACCTATTTTTATTCTAACGGATGAATTAGACAGAAAAATTTTATTGACATGAAATTAATGGTTAATGGACTAAATTCAAATAATTAAAAATTCAGGAACTATTTTAAAACAAGAGGCAAAATTTAATAACTAACTGTGATAGTTACCTTGGATTTTATTTACCAAATTTATTGGGCAATTGGATATTTACAATATTTACGAATTTTACTATTGCAATAATATAAGAACTTGGCAAACAAGAAAACATGAATGCAGCAGGCTAATCTAAAAAGTTACTGCAACCAAAGCAAAGAGACGTGTTGCCCTACTCAATCAGGTTGAATTATCTTGATTTTCTTGTGAAAAATCATTCAAAGAATTACCAGAAATTCTTTAGATGATCATGATTTTTGAGTATTCGGAAAACATTGTAGTTAGGAATACATGACTCTTTTAAATATCACGACACTCTTATAAAATCAATGAATGTTTACCATCCAATAGGTCGTACAGAGTATGTCCCAAATTTACTATAAATAGCATTTTTCTTGTTTGATATATAACACTAATGCAGAATTAGGAAAATATTATTTAGACTTAATATGTGGACTTAAAATATAGGCTTGATTAATCACAATTGTTGAATAAATAATGAATTCTAATAAATATTAAAACTCATAATAAAATTAATGATAATAATTGATGGAGTTTATATTTTAAGTCCATATTTTAAATTGATTGTAGTATTGATCGCAGAATTAATAGGGATTCAGTAATATAGTAAATGAGAAATTTAAGGGTAAGGGGGAGACAAACCAGCGGTGTGTACTCTGGAGCAGCTGCTCAATGATGAAGGATTGAAGTCCTGGAGCAAAGAAACCGAACTAATTTGGTCACTCTGACACTCCATATGCCTCCTATTCACGGTTCTCATCTTCATTTCATCATCTTTCCTACTCATGTACGTTTTCACAGTCACCGGCCTTGCACCGCTCTCTACATTGAACCTCTTCATTGCCGGCTGATTCCGGAAAGGCTGATCGGCTGATTGTACTGTCTCAATGATCTTCTTCAGCGCTTTCAAATCTTCATCGCACTTCTCCAACGCTCCCAGCAATTGCCTCCTCTTTTCTGCAACAGGTTCCACCACCGGTAGTCGAACCGGGTTTTCATCCAACCCTATCAGCCGGGCTAGTATCGCCGGAGGAGGTTTAAAGTTTTCCGGCGAGTTTACGGAGTTTAATCTACGGATATCGGGTGGAAGGGTTGGACTCCTTGGCACATCGCACGAAAATCTCCTAATATCACGATTTTTGTCTTCATTGTTCTTTTGTTCTTCTGTTGATGATGATTTAGCATTTGAAGGAGACGAAACTGCATGTTTTTCCGGCTTTCTACCTGAAGATGAAAATGTGTGTCACTCTAATTATTTGTTCTCTGTTTCACAGGGATTTAATTGATGAAAAGGGTATGAACTATGAGATCTTGGAGTTTAAGCTACTTAAATTTCGTGAGGGCCAGAGCTTAATAATTTACGTCACTACTCCTTTAAGAAGTACATAGTTTCCTTACGGTTTCCCAGTAACAAACGAATGAAACGATTCTTAGAGTCACTGAAATAAGAAGAGGTATTAAAGATTAAACACACACACACACGTACAGAATTGCAGAGGGAGATAAGAGAGGAGAATGTGATTCAATTCACCGGTACAATGCTTGTGGGAGCCCTTGTCCAAAGAGCCCACACACTTCCATGTGGTGTAATCACCATCGGGACACAGACATAGAGAGGAATAGAGAGAGAGAGAGAGAGATTCACTGACCAAAAGTAAGGAATTTCCGGCGATGTTGATATTTGGAGACGAGCTTAAAAATGCCGGACATACAGCCAATGGCTTTGTCATGGTGAGTATCCAGTTGCGGGGTTTCACGGCGCGATGAGGATGATAGCAGAGTTTCTTGTCTCTTCAGCATCTCTCAGTCTGATCTAAAGAATTGCCTTGGGAGCAATGTAAAAGAAAAGAAAAGGGGAGGATGCAGAGTTAAAAGAGAGAACGGTAACAAAATGACAGGAAGCACAATGAGAATGTGTATTTTGTTCTTCTGAATGGACTGTCAAAGCTGAACGTGCGGTCTGCTTTTTTGGAGGGGGTGGCGTAGATTAAGTATCTGATGATACCCGGAAAATGGCTCCATTAAATAAGGGTAATTTAGTCAAAGAAATTGAATTATCTTGAAGCCGTATGGTGACGATTACCAATGACAGGAAACTCAGGTTAGTCCATGATGACCTCAAGAGGATAGTTCAAGTCTCCCTATTGAAATCATGAAAAAAATTAATGTTACGAGATCTAGACAACTAGTCGAGCTAATCTCCTTATGTACAGGGTAATCTCGATAGGAGAGCTCACCCTAAAGCATACTCGGTAGATGGCGGACTCCGCCAAAGGCATACAAGATCATCACATGTTCACGCTAGAAGATAAATCATCATGCCACTACATCATATTTTATAAAGTCGCGTCACACTTGGAGCATGTAGACTCTAACGGCTTAGCGAATATAAATTTAAATAGCCTAAATATTCCTTCAATAAAATGCTAACAAACTAGTGGACCACTCGGTGGTGACATCATCATTGCATATAAATATCCAGACATTTATTCAAAAGAAGGATAAATAAAAACTCTGTAATTAATCATTCTTCTCCAAGAAATATATAGAATCTCTAAGATGAAGAGATTCCATTTGGGTGGACTAGCAATGCTCTATGGCTAGTGAACTACTATAATTTATGTATTCTCTCCCTCATGCCTCAGTTCAGCCTTTTTTATTATCCCTATTGTAGACTTTGATGGAGCCACCCAGCTCCATCTTAGATTAATCGTTTTGCCCCCACGTATTCACTTGTATGTCCCCCAAAAGACTTAGACTCTTCAGTTCAAGTACCCCACACTACAACAAAATTGTTTTTTAGTAACGGGTTTTGACAACGAATAATAAAATTTGTTGTAAAAAAGTGATTTTCGACGACAATTTCAATTATTTTTTCGCGGTAATCTTTTCAATGATATTTTTAGCGACCATTTTTTGTAGTCGTTACCAATAATACTCGCAAAAACGTTCCCTCCTAAAAATGCTAATTTTATGGGCAACAAACCAAAAATAATATTTTGGTCACAAAATTTTTGTCAAATTTATGAAAAATAAGAAAAAACAAATAATACTTAGAGACAATAAAAGTTTGTCGCAAAAACAAAATATTTAAAAATTAATTTTGTTTTCCGACAAATGATATTTGGTTGCAGAATATGTTAAATGAAATGCCCACTCTGATGGATTAAAAAGATGTCATTTTGAAGTTAAATGATTGGGAGAATTATATCTACACTCTTGAAATTTGTCACTTAATCACTCAGACCCCTTGACATTTAAAATATTATACACAGACCCCTTGGATTAATATGAGCGTAACACTTAAAAAAGTTATAGTTATTATACAATTATACTATCTATTAATTAGAATAATACTATCTATTTATTAGTGAATATATTTACAGGAGGGGAGTGTCATGCCGTACAAACTTTAGGAGATTTGTGTGTTATATTTTAAATGGGTGCATGATTGAAATTGTTCTTAATGTTTTTTAGTTGTTATTGGTGTTTTTAAATTGTTACGTGGCCAAATGGGATTTAATCATGTTCATTTTTTGGGTGACGAAAACAAGTCCTTGCTAAAATGTTGGTTTTCTTTTTGGGCGATTAATATATTTATCGCCAATATTTAGCAATGAAATAGAGATGGTCATTGAAGTTTTCACGTTTTGCAATGAATATAATCGTTACTAAAGATTTTATGTGGTTAAAAAAATTTATTTTTTGGCGACAAAATTATGGTCGCCTATTGTGTATTTTTGGCAACGAAAATTTTGTTGTCGTTAAAAACTTTCCCAGACGAGCCTAACGCGACAAAATGGCGACGAAATAAGTTCGTCGGCAAAAATTTTTTGCAATGAAATTTATACATTTTTGCGACAAGTCAATTTGTAGCTAAAAGTATTTCACATCCTCACACCATCAGTTTTGAGCCGTTTTTGGGAACGATTGGTCATTGTCCCGCTCTATGGTATTTCTTGTCTTTAATTGAATGGTAGTAATTACTTGAAGTATGAGTCAAATGCTGAAAAATCCCCAAGGAGCCAGAGTCCCACTCCAAGCAACAGACCCCCAAGGATCCAGATTCCCACTCCACCGGCGAACCCCCAGTTGGAAACCTACTAGCAGGCCTTCCTTCTAGTCGAAGCCGGATTCGAATCAGCAACATCCACCACCTTCCCCTGGTCATAATCCTACAAACCATCAAAACTAGCCTGCTCGAAATCCCATTAACCAAATCCCTTGGAAATCCATAATATAGTGAATGACGTGAAGGAAGATAATCAAAGCCATTTTGGGGAAAACCTCAGATGATAGTATCATCAACAAGGAAATGATGATGATGCACAGAGTAGAACTCCTAAAGTGGAAAAGGAAAATCATCCTCACCCAAAATAGAGAGGGTTGTGGACTAATTATATAAGCAAAGATTCAGAGAAAATCCATAATGAATTGGGTAACATAAGAGAAGTCATAAAAAATAGAGTGCCAGTGTATATGGATATTTTGATCCATCAAACGAAATCCTTATTTACTATAGAAGTTCTCAGTTTTCCCTTGCCTCCGAAGTTCAAAGCTCCTCATATTGAGGTCTTTGATGGATCCAAAGACCTCGTAGATCACTTCAATTCTTTACAAGAACCAAATGGAGCTCCATGGCTCGGGACCAAGTACGTTGTCGGGCCTTCACCATCACCTTGAAAGTATGGTTTAACCGCTTCGCCCTGGCCTCAATATCAACTTTCAAGGAACTATTGTTCAGTTGAGCTCCCACTTTATTGGGGCCATGACTACATGAAACCAACTTACCACATGTTGTCTAGTAAGTAGGATCCAAGGGAGTCGCTGAGAAGTTACATAAAGAGGTTCAACTAGGAATCATTCAAGGTCGATGGTTTTGATGAGAAGGTCACCTTGACAACTTTTACGGCTGGTCTGGGCCTCCAATCCAAAGATCTTGTCTTCTTCATTACGAAGAATCCAAAGGTCTCCAGGGCTAAGGTCTTGGCCAAAATTGAGAAATACATCAATGGAGAAGATGCCCACATTTCAAAAGGGAGTTTAGCTTCTACCTCTAGATAACGCTCATAAAACAAAAAAAGGAAAGAGTCGAGCCCTAGGTGTTACAGAGAACACAATCGANAGATGCCCACATTTCAAAAGGGAGTTTAGCTTCTACCTCTAGATAACGCTCATAAAAAAAAAGGAAAGAGTCGAGCCCTAGGTGTTACAGAGAACACAATCGGGAATGAGAGTAATCACCTATAAAAGAAGAGATAACTCTTCGAAAAGGAGGAGAAACAAGAAAGATAACCTGGGACCACTCTTGGAGCCATACTTATAGCCTCAATACATACCCGAGAAGTTCTCACCATTGAACACCTCGGTGGCTCAAGTACTACATCAAGTATAGAATGAAAGATACCTAAAATAGCCCACCAAAATGAAGGCAAACCAATGCAAAAGGGGCCCCACTATGTACTATAACTTCCATCGCAACCATGGGCACGACACCGATGATTGCTATCAAATTAAAAAGGACATTGAGTTTTTGATCCAAAGGAGGCAACTCATACATTTTGTAGCACAAAAGGGGGAAACTCAACCTCAACCTTTGGTGGAATGACCCCAACAGGGTCTCGCCACAACACCAACAAGCCCTGGGTGAAATTAGAGTAATCTCCAGGGGCTTTGTAGGCCGAGGCAAGTCCAGCTCGACTAGGAAAACCCATGTGACAAAAGTGAGGATTGACGATTTATTGGAAAGACAAGCCATCCATAAAACCCCACATCAAGGGGACGAGATCACTTTTTATGATGTTGATCTAGAGGAGTGCCAACTCCCCCATGACGACTTTTTGGTTATAAAAGCCATCATCAATAAAAAGTTGTCCATTAGGTCCTTGTAGACAATGAGAGTTCAACTGATATTATCTTCTTAAGAGCCTTTGAGAAGCTCGACATTAGCAAAGAAAAGCTTGAGACCGTCAAGAACCATTTGCTGGGATTCTCTAGAAAGAAGGTATTTCCCCTAATATCAATCATGCTCGTACATACCTTAAGAGATCCTCCATGCCAAAGAACCATAACAATAAGGTTTCTTATTGTAGATGCACCATCTTCTTATAAATGTTATTTTAAGAAAACTATCCGTAAATTCAATCAGTGCCATCCCCTCCGTGTATCACTTTGTGATGAAGTTACCTACTAGTAACAATATAAGGATTGTAAGAGGAGATCAACAGATAGCCAGGGAGTGCTACATCTCCTCCATGAGACAAAAAAAGGTTGAATCTATACAAATAGACGACCTAGAAATGAGGGATGAGATAGAAACCAGGACAACCTCTTTTTAAGAGTTGGAGTTTGTACAATTAGAAAAAAATCTGGAGCATGTGGTCTTCACCAGATCAAAATTACTGTGTGGCATTCTTAAGAAATAATTTTGACGTGTTCACATGGAGGCAAGAAGATATGAAAGGCATTGACCTAGGGGTGATTTTCCACAAGCTCAGCATCAACCCAGTGCTTGAGTTTTTTTGTTGTAATATCCTAACCTCCAGACATCATCCCTCAATGTATGTATGGTGTGTATGAGGGGGAGTGCCACTTTCCCTTGGAATGATGTCAAAAGAAAGGGCAAAGGAATGGTGAAAGGAGTCTTTTGAGTGTCGTATTTTACTTGGAAAAGTATTTCAAGGTCGTCTCCTCGGAGAATGATGTGAATCGTTTTCAAAGTGATTTCAATGAAAAGAAAGTGTAAAATCTTTTATAGTTTGAAGTTGGTCTGTGATGAAATTGAAATGGAAAACAAGTGTTGGCTAATCCGAAGGGTTCACTCCCATGGAAATGTCAAGTCAACCCGAAACCTTCCTCCAATGGTGCATAGATGAACGA